ATGAAATATTTTATTATTTTATTTTTCAGAAAATAAGAACCATTGATTTGGATGAGAAAACAATTAAGCTACAAATCGTAAGTATTTAAAAAAATTGTTTTTTTTTTTTTTTTATAAATTTTTTTTAATACTGCCAAGTTATTATGAAATTTATTTTTTATTTATTCAATTGTTAAGGAGTCAATTTTAGTTTCTTTTTTATTAAAAAAAAAATCCCTTGAAATATAATTTTGAAGGAACATGAAGTTAAAGTATTAAAATCATAAATTGTACAAATCAATGCAACAAATTAATATCTCTATGCTTTTTATTTAGAGTAAGATTCGTTGAACTTTCACAACAAAGCCTAGTATTAAAGTTAACAAGGCTAAAATTTCTATTCTAAATGTAATTAAAAATAAATGATGATTTCAGTTTTGTTTTCTCACTCTAATTACGTTAGTTATATTTTATCTTTTGTCATTACGCTTCTGATTTTTTTTTTATAAAAGTGTCATTAACTTTAAATTTAAAAAGTTTTTAAAATTACATCATTTGATTGGTTAATTCTATTTAGTGACGTAATACCGTGCAAGTCTACAAACATAATCGTGAATGTTATACGTCGTTAGTCACATTGTGTCTAATTTTTTTTTTTTTTTTTCATCGGGTTTCCAAAGTAATTATAACACGACAAAAGAAAAAATAATTTTATTGTTTTTGTAGTGGGATACTGCCGGTCAGGAAAGATTTCGTACTATTACGTCCAGTTATTATAGAGGTGCACACGGAATCATAGTGGTGTATGATTGTACGGATCAAGAATCTTTTAATAATGTTAAACATTGGTTCGAAGAAATTAACCGTTATGCTTGTGAGAATGTCAATAAATTGCTTGTAGGAAATAAAATTGATATGGTAGAGAAGAAAGTTGTCGATTACAACACAGCAAAGGTGTGTGGGAAAATTTTTTTTTCACAATTCAAATCGGTACTAATAATAATTAAAAGAATGAATGCATACAAAAAACACATGCATACTTATAAATGTATTTGTCGTACAGAGCTATGCCGATGAACTAGGAATACCATTCATAGAAACATCAGCCAAGAATTCGACAAACGTAGAGCAAGCTTTCATGACAATGGCGGCTGAAATAAAGAACAGGCTGGGACCTCCTACATCTGCTGCAGATGCAGTTCACAAGGTTAAAATTGAACAGGGGAGAACGATTGAAGGCTCTAGGTCTGGATGTTGCTGAAACCAATGGTAAGTTTGAATAGTTTATTAATTTCCATATTAAAATAAATTTTAAAATTTAAATTTTAAATTTTTTAACAAACTTTTTTTTTTAAATTATATAAATTTTAAATTTTTTTTATCCGAGTTTTAATTGCGATAATTCTTCTTATGGGTTTGTGAGTAAATTTGTTTTTACCGAGTGTATGTCGTGTAAAATGTCAATTTTTTTTTTTTTTTTTTTTTTTTTTTTTTTGGTTTAAAGAAATCTTTTTAGCGGGGTAACTTTTAAAAATATTATATTTCAGTTTTAAAAATTGTATTAATTTTTTTTTTTTTTTTTCTAAAATTTTCCTTTCAAAGGGGAAAAATATTTTAAAACGCAAAAGTCGTTAGGCTTCATTAACGTGAACCTTCAGTTAATTTTTTTTTTATTGAACTTTTAATATTTGTATTCTAATTAATAATTTCATAGTGAAGTAATAAAAAAAGTCTAAAGTTTAACTTGTATTAAAAATTTGGAATCATTTCTAATTCGAAAATATTTCAAATCTTTTTTTTTTTTATGTTAATATTAATTTCTTAGATTTGAAAATTTTTATTTTAAAAAGTTTTAAAAAAAAAAAAAAAAGAAAAAGGAAAAATAAGTGGAAAAAAAATTTTTTTTTTTTTTTTTTTAATAAAAAAAAAAAGTACGAAAGTAAAGTAAGGAATTATTTACAAATACTTATTCATTTTATTTACCGCCATTATTTACTTATATTTTTTTTATTTAATATGTTTTATTATTGTTCGGTGTCGGAAAAAGTAATGAAAAAAAATTTTTGTTTGATTAATTCCGTTAAATAATGTAAATGAAAAGAAAAAAAAAAAAAAAAAAAAAAAAGTTGACGTGAAAAAACAAGGAAGGAAAAAACAAACAACAAGGAAACTTTCGCGTTTTTAATAAATAAATTTTGTTAATTTAAAAATGGAAAAAATAACAGTTGGTATACTAACAATAAGTGACAGGTGTTCGAGGAAGGAATCAATCGATGAAAGTGGTGCCAATTTGGTACGGTTAATTAATAGTGGAATAGTTAAAAACGGTGTTGTCGTCGAAAGAGATTTAGTACCAGACGAAAAGGAAGAAATTAAAAAAAAATTATTACATTGGTGCGACAATTTAAATTTGAATTTGATACTCACAGTTGGGGGAACTGGTATAGCACCTCGAGACGTCACGCCTGAAGTCACTGCTCCCCTCCTAGATAAAAAAATACCCGGAATATCAAATTTAATATTTAAAAAAAGTTCAGAAATCACTCCGTTGGCTGCTCTATCCCGAGGTATTTCAGGTATCAGAGGTAAAAGTTTAATTGTTAATTTACCCGGGAGTAAAAAAGCATCGGAAGAATGTTTGACATCGATTTGCAGCGTGATATCCCATGCCGTCGACTTGATATGCGATATTAAAGAAAATGTCGATACCCTTCACAAATCAATGAATAAAAAACAATCCAAAGTCGAGGTGATAACCGAAGATATGAGAGTAAGGAGGTCACCCTATGCATGTTTAAAAGTTTACGAAGCACAAAAAATTATATTCGATGTGGTAAACAAACTTAAAAGAGAGAAAATCGTCAATTTGGAAAATTCATTGGATTATGTGATTGCGAAAAACGTATTAGCCGTCGATCATCTTCCTCCATTCGATGCCAGCATTAAAGATGGTTATGCCATCATATCAAATGATAAAACCACACCGAAAACTCTTTTAGGCTCTTGCGCAGCCGGAAACATGCCCGATGAAAAAATTATACCTGGGTGTTGCGTAAGCGTCAATACCGGAGCTCCCATACCTGAAAATTGCGATGCCGTCGTTCAAAATAGAAGATACAAAACTGATTAAATCCGGATGCGATAGCCATATTGAAATAACCGTTTTTCCTTCGAAAGGAGAAAATATCAGGCCGAAGGGATTCGATTTTAAAAAAAATGATTTACTAATGCCGGCTGGTACTTATTTAGGATCGTCTGCTATTGGATTATTAGCCGCAGCCGGCATCATGTCTGTAACAGTTTATGACAAACCAACTTTAGCCGTTATGTCAACCGGTGATGAAATCGTTAATCCGAACGAGGCTTTAAAACCTGGGAAAGTCAGAGATAGCAATCGATTAACTTTGATAAGCATGCTAAAGGAGGAAGGATTCAAGGCGGAAGACATGGGTATAGTCAAAGATGAGCCCGACTCATTATTTTCCTCACTGACGAAAGCTTTTGAAATTTCCGACGTGGTTGTAACGACCGGAAGTATGTCGATGGGAGACAGAGACTATTTGAAAGAAGTTTTAAAAGTAGATTTCGATGCGGAAATATTTTTCGGAGCGGTCTTCATGAAACCTGGAAAACCGACGGCGTTTGCTCTTTTAAATTTTCAAAATAAACCAAAATTATGGTTCGGTTTACCCGGAAATCCAGCTTCGGCCGTCGTCACAACTCATCTTTTCCTATTGCCCGCGTTGAAAAACATGTCGGGTAACAAAAGAGTTTTACCTCCTAGAGTAGACGCATATTTAACATTCGACATAGAATTGATCGAGAGACCTCACTATCACAGGGGTATTTTGTCGTACGAAAATGGAAAATTTGAAATTTCGACAACCGGAAATCAGAGTAGTAGCCGAGTCGGAAGTTGTTTGGATGCTAATTGCCTAATAGAAATACCACACGGTAAGGGCGTGGTTTCCAGCGGAACCAAAGTATCAACATTAATCATTGGTAAACATTTTTAAATATTCATCATGACAAAGAGAGGAAACGTTGAAGGACGTTTTAAGGAAAAAAAAAATGTAAAAAAAAGAAGCTTAGTAAAAAATAGTTAATTTTCACGTCAATTTATAAATTTTTTTTTGTTTTTTTTTTTTTATATGTATTTCATCAAAAGGCGGTACACATAACATAATAAATCATTTATTTTATTATTATTATTATTATTTTTGTGAATAAATCTCTTGCATTTAGCCATGTTTGTTATTGAAACGAAAATTTTAATAATATGATTAATAGTGATTAGGTAGGAGGTAGCCATAATTTTTTTTTTTTTTTGTTTAAAATGTAAATTATTATTGAATGTCAAAGTTAATATCGATTAATTAATCATAACAAAACAAATTTTACCTTTTTTTTTTTTTTTTTTTTTTTTTTGTTTAACAACCTCTTAACTTTTTTTTGTTTAATAATAATAATAATAATAAAATAGAAAATCAATTCGTTTGAAAACATAAAACAACTTTAAATGATAAAGAAATATGTGGAGAGAAGAAAAAAAAAAAAAAGTAAAATTGTTTTGTTTTGAACCAGAAGAAGAAGAAAACATTTTGAAAAAATTTATGTTTCGGTTAATAATAATAATAATAATGATAATAATAATGATTACAATGAAATAGGGAAAAAATGGAAGAAAAAAAATACTTCAGTATTTTAAATTTGATAAAAATTGACTTATTGACTTATGAAGAAAAAAAAAAATAGTAAATATTGATAATATAATACATAAATAAATGTCTATTTTAAAAAAAAAGTTTAAATATAATAATAATAATAATGATAAATACATATATATATTAATGACAAGTAAAAGAGAAATTAATTGTAATGAAATAATAATAATAATGGATAATAATACAATTGATATATAGATTTTTTTTTATTTTTAATTTTTGTTTGCACTCGGCTAAATAGTTTTGTTATTGTATAATAATAATAATAATAGTAATAATTTTTTTTTTTTTTTTTTACTTTACAGGCAAGTTATGGTAATTAATTAATTTTTTTTTCATGACGTCATGAAGGTTTTGCTTTGAATATAAAAAGATTAATTAATGGAATTAAATTATTTGCTTATCTCATTATTGTTAATTACTTTTTATATATATATATATATATATATATCTAACCGTCAATTTTAT